GGAAGGTGTTTGGTGGTGTAGCTCCTTTAGGCTAGCTCACTTCACTTAGGATGATGAAGGCCAACCAAGGAAGACCCAAGCTCACTCAAGGAAGAGAGGAGAGGATAGGGGGCCATGGAGTTCCTAGGGGACTAAGGAAGGAATAAAGAGGCACAAGGCTCACTCAATATCATTAATTTCCAAAGTAGCTACAAGGTGGATGACCTAGAGTACTTATAGAGAGAGGAAAGACATATAGGGTTTCTTGGGAGCATTTGGCCAAAATGTTGAGGTCCAAATACACCCTAAATGAACCCTAAATGCATCCCAAATGAAATGGCTCCCATCTCTCTAAAAGACTAAAGTACCCTTGGGTCTAGAATAATAAAGAAATGGACTTTGACCTTATAAAATAAGGTTTTGTGTGCCCTCCATCATTAGTAGCCTGGTGCTAACTTTCAACCCTCATTTTCAAGCTCTTTGACAGCACTTGTGCCTCCACTCATCACTCTTGTTGTTTTGTCTCTCTTTTGACGAACAGATCTAAAAATACGTTAAAGACTTTATTGACAGGGTCTCACGTAAGTCATTCTCATGTTTCTCATTAGCTTTTGGTTTCTCCTACTCCTATTCTTTTTCTCGTTTCACATTACATAATTTGTGGTTTTCTTCTTGATTTAAGATTTATTTGATCTCTTTAAATATTTTGTTTGTTTTGTTTTGTTTGACTCTAATTTTGTTAGATTGTTACACAAGTTCGTTCTTTATTTCACACGTATCTGATTCTTTGTCACTTGTTTAGAGCATTGTGTTATGGCTGAAGAAGAACATCAAGAAATAGGCATTGATAATGTGGATGAAATTGAAGGAAAAAAATTGATATGATACATGATACAATTCCTAGTCAATTTATACCAAAAGTTGGGATGGAGTTTGAGACTGAAGATGCAACATATAATTTTTACAATGATTATGCTTATAGAGTGGGTTTCAGTGTGAGGATTAGCAAAGGGCATAAAGATAAATATGGGAAGATTGTCAATAGAGTATTTTGTTGTTCATGCGAAGGATATCGTGGGAAAGATAAGCGAGAAGATAATGTCAAAAATCCTCGACCACAATCAAGATTTGGTTTTTTGGCAAAGATGAAAGTTAATAGTCGTTTAACGGGAAAGTATCGTGTAACTGAATTTATTGCCGAGCATGCACATGAGACTACAACTCCTAGTAAGAGTCATTTGCTTAGATCTCAAAGGACAATGACTACAAGTATATATCAAACGTTGGTTTCACGTGAAAGAAACAGCGAAAGAAACAATGAAAGAAAGAGAGAAAGAAACTGAGACGTGTGTTGTGCACATCAGAGAGGAGCAATATATATAGACAGTTCTTTGTGACGCTCTCATTCTTTGTCACCTTTTGGTTGAATTGAAACCGTACACGTGGAACCACGATAGAAGAAACTTTAATCTGGTATGCTCTTTCAGGACCAATACCTATAGTGAATATTAATAATACTTATTAGTAGCATTTATGTTGAAAAAGAATATTATTTCATGAAAGGATCAAATAATTTGACTAAAAAATCTTAGCTATACAATCTCTAATTCATTTTTTTTAAATATTTTCTTTATTATTTTTAAAAAAAATTATTAGAAATTATTAAATTTTGTAGATGCTTCATATTTAATGAGTTTCACTTATATTTTATTCAGTTTTTAATAAATTTTTAACAATAAGATAATATTAAAAAAAATGTGTTAATAATATTCTACCACCTTGATGTCATATGTATAATAGTAAAAAATAATATATATTTTTTATATACATAGGAATGAAATGGCATAAAATAATATAAATTTTATGAAGCAATAATTAAGTAAATACATTTTACTCTGAATATGTATATAAATTAAATATTTATTGTAACATCCCAAAATCTATATAATTGTTAATTATTATATTTATGAAAATCATTTTCTTATAGTTATTAATTAATAAAAAGGGTTCTTTTTATATAGAATATTTAGAGATTTTAATAAATGATTATTATGTATTTTAAATATTTATGGGATTATTAAACAAATTTTTTTATAATTAAAAATAATAAAATAATATTTTGGGCTCAGAACGGGCCATTCCAAAAAGTGGAACGGGCCATTCCAAATTTTAAAAGAGGCTTGTTTTTGTTGGCCCGGAACGGGCAGTTCCAAAAGTGGAACGGGCCGTTCCAAAAGTAGAACGGGCCGTTCCAAAGTAATAAAAAGGCCCATTTTTGTTTTCCGGAAGTTTAAAAATGCCTAAAAGGATTTTGTTAGAACGGGCCGTTTCAATTATAGTCATTATGTGTAAAAATGGAGTCCAGAACGGGCCGTTCTGCTTTTTGGGAACGGGCCGTTCCGATTTTGGAACGGGCCGTTCCAGTTGAAAAATTTATGTATGTTTGAAGGTTCCGGAACGGGCCGTTCCGAAATCAGTACGGGTCGTTCCGAGTGCGTCAGAATGCCTATAAATAGGGGCATCAGGGGTGAAATTTTATAACGAAGTAAAATAGTAGAATTTTAGAGAGAGAGAGAGAGAGAGAGAGAGAGAGAGAGAGAAAGAAAAAGAGAAAGAGAGAGAGAGGGAAAGAAAAAGAGAGAATCCAGAAGAGGAGATTCTGCCCAAATTTTAGCTCCTACATATCTAGGTAAGGGGGAGGAGAACCTTATCTCTTTTAAATTTTATTATTTATGAAGATAAATATTGTTCTATGGCCATAGAAGATAAAGTTTGAATTATTTGTAGCTGGAGGTTTGACCTTGGGGATTTAAATGAGTAAGAAATGAAGGTGAAATATCCTATTGTTGATTAAGGTGAAATATCCTTTTATTGGTTGATGTTATTATGATGCTCATTTATCCTGACTAGTCACTACAAGTATAATTCAAATTTTATTGTATCATGAAAATCTAATATATGAGTTGTATATATATTTATATTTATATATATACATATATATATGTTTAATATTGATTACAAATAATTCTGTTTATTCTTTTGAATTATTGTATTTATTGGATATTGTTCTTACTCCTCTCTTTTCTTTGTTTTTATAAATTAAATATATTACAAAATAGATGGATCTACTTTGGATTCCAGATCATTTTGCAGTTGTTATAACTGTTGTCTTCCCTGGAAGGAATTGGAATGTGGAGGCTATTTGATGAATCTATTATAATTTTTGTAAATTTATTTTCACTATCAATGTAAATATTGTAATAAAAGTGAAAGAAAAATATATTGTGTAAAATAATACATTATTGTAAATATTTTAGAACGATATATCATGTATTAAATTCACAAAATATTCTGTTTCTTTACCTTTATCATTATATTAAAAAAAATATTGTTAATGATATAATTGCGTACATATTATATAAGAAAATATATAATTATTATTATATAAATTGGGCGTTATATTAAGTGGTATCAGAGCAGGTCGATCCATTCGGCCGTGAGTTATGAGTTTACTATGCTTGTTTGGTAGAAGAAATCTATAGTTGCAGCGATTGAATCCAAGAAGGATGTATGTTGAGAATTGGAATTTTAAATAATACTAATAAAAGGCTAAAGTTGCATTTTTGTTATTTTTATTTGGAAGTTGTAAATTATTCCTAACTAGGAGGGACTGCCACCTTTACTGGAATTA